AATTCTTAAGTAAATCCATCAAAACTTTGTTCCTTTAGTATTTGCCATTCCTTTTGCTTCTCCTTTGTAGCATGAGTTACTTCTCGCTCTCCCTTTCCCTTGCTCTTTTTTCCTTTGGCAGCTTTTAGAACCTTCTCTTTTTCTCAGTGTGTTTAGTTTTTCTTTAACTTTGTGGGGCACTTGGACACTTTCAACCTGGAAACTCATGTCCTTCAGTTCTGTCAACATCTGTTGTTTTCTGCCGTCAGGTATCTTTTTCTCATGGTCCTGCAGATTTATGACACCTTACATTATTTTTTAATTATTTCTTTTTAAAAAATCAATGAATTATACTTAGTACTATCACTTAAGTTTGCTATAAGACACATGTGCTCACCAGAGAGAGACAGAGAAAGAGAGAGAAGAAAAGTGAGGAAGTGAGATCTAGGACTCAAACTGCGATTGGCAGTTGAGAGCCTTAACCACCACGCCACCTGTGGACCTGACTCTTTGTATTATTGACTACCAATTTAAAAGAGTTCAGTTGGCAAGTTGAACATGGAGATAAATATGTGCATGCTTAAATCCTCATGACTTGCAACAATTCCTCTGAGCGATTTTTATAAAACCTTATGAGAAATTATAGTTGTCAGAATCAAATAGGCTAATTACAAATAACAGGGTTAAGTAGAAAGCACCAACCAGTGCCTAAAATAATGCCTAGAACTTGTAAGTGCTTAGTTAATACCCAGAGAAGACATATAAGAAATAGACTTGGGCTAACTGGTGGCATGGTGGTTAAGATGCTAGACTCCCACATGACCAACTGCTGTTTGAGTCTTAGACCTGGCAGCTTGCTTTCTCACTTTCCCTCTCTCTCTCTTTTTCTCTGACTCTGTCCCTCTCTGGTCAAATTAAAATAAATAAATAGAGAAAGTTAAATAAAATAATTTTTTTTTTTTTTTTAAAAAAAAAAAAGAAAGAAAATAATTTAGTTATCTTTTTTTGTTAAAAAGAAGGGGAGAGGGCAACCTTTTAAATCCCAAATTGAGCTCACAAAAAAGCAAATTTTTCACATGTGCCGAACAGTGAAAGGAAAACAAAAGGGGTGTGAACCTGAACTGATGCCATGAGTGCTGGAGGATAAAGAAGATGGGAGAAGGCCATCTCGGTACCCTAAAGACACAGGTCTAACACTCACACAGGAATAGGAAGTGAAGTCCTGGTCCCATATAAAGTGAGGAGCTGCCACTGAGAGCATCCCTCCACCCAAGAAAGGCAGTGCTTTTCAAGAACTACACATCTTTGGGAAACAGGGACACTAGAAAAAATTTGTCTACAGACCTTAAGTCATAACCGAGGGTAAGCTTGTCTCTTCTGCCCCAAGTTTACAAAAATGGCTAACACTGGGGGCCAGGAGGTGGCACAGTGGTTAAGGTGCTGGGTCCAAATGGCCAACTCCATGGTTCAGTCCCAAATCTGGCAATTTGGGGCGTGTGTATGTGTGTGTGTGTGTGTATGTGTGTGTGCATGTGTGCCCCAAATCCCAGAGAATAGAGAAGGGAGTGCAGCATGACCATCTTCCCTGGAAGATGATTTCTCACTTTCTCTCTCTGTTATTCTCTCTCCAGAGTACACACCTGCCTTTCAAAAAATGTTAAAAGATAATTAAAGAGAAACAATAATAATAAAAAAAGCTAATATCTACATATATTGATAGTTACTATGAGCCAGACACAGTTCTGAGGACTTTAGATACCTCACACTATAGGAAGGTATTTTATTGGCCCTATTTACAGATGAGGAAACTGAGTAGTCCAAGTAGGATCCGAGGTACATAGCCCATTAAGTAGCAGAGCAAGGACTTATTCACAGGAGGTCTGGTTTCAAGGCCACTGAACTAACCAGGATGGGTTTAGGGTTTGAAAATAAACTACTGCTTGGTCCAGAAATCCCCAAATTATGAAAATCACATAAAGCTTATCTGGCCTCACTGTTAACTGTGGCTCTCAGCCAAGCAGAATCAGAAGTCCTCTAGAGGATAGCTCCCACAATATAGCTACAAAGGAGTCTCAAGATTAACCCTACTAAGGATGAGCTGGAATTTAAATACATCCTAAGATCCCCAGGAGAGTTAACGGAGAGGACAGAATTAGCATCCCCTAAACTTGGAATAAAGAATGGCAATCTGGGGGCCTGCAAGTGGTGTGGTGGTTAAGGGCACTGGACTCCCACATGGTCCACGTGGTTTGAGTTCCAGACCTGGCAGCTTGCTTTCTCACTTTCTCTCAGCCCCTCTGGTCAAATTAAAATAAGAAAAGTTAAATAAAATAATGCTAAATAGAAAAAAAGAAAGAAATGCAATATGAAAGAATGCAAACTGGCATTTTAAAACTGGATTTAGAACAACGCAGGAGGTGGGTAGAGCCAGTACAGAAAGAATCATGTGAATTCTGTTTTCCAACATACAGTTAGGATTGGCAGATTAAGAGAAAACAAAGCACAGGGGAAAGGCCATGGTGAAAGGCAAAGAGGCTAAACACTTTCCAGGATTCATAAAAAAATACTAACCCTTAGAATCAAGAACCAGTATGAGTCCTGGACAAACAGATAAAAAGATCAGGGTGAAATAGCAGAGATCAAAGCTACAAAATTATTTTTTTTAAGTTTTTGCTATAGGACATATGCATTCACTGAAAACAGACAAAGAAAGTGAGTGAGTGAGAGAGTGAGTGAGTAAATGAGTGAGAAAACACCCCTAGGGGGATGGCCATAATCCCTTCACCTCCCGTTTTCCTCCCGCAATTTTGGGCATGCATACATGCCCGGCGTTTTCAAACTGCTGGGTCTGGGACTAGAACTGTAGAGTGGGCCATGTGGGGTCCGGCACCTTAACCACCAAACCACCTGATTGGCCCCCAAATTATTTTTAATACAACCAGTGAAAAAAGAGATTATAAGAGAAACTAAAACTTCTAACAGCAATAACAAAGGTGTGTGAAGAAATGGAGTGTCACTCTTAATGTGCTGAGAAAACACACCTGTCCATGTAGAAATCTGGGTAGTTAACCATCATCCAAAACAAAATTGATGAATGTAGTTACAGAAGATGGCAATTTAATCCAGAGGAGTAGTGTACAGGACACACTGGTTAGGGTATTTGTAAACACTGAGGTAAAATCTAAGCATACAGATTGCATAAACCAAAATCATAATCACAAAACACTACGCAACAGGTACATACACGGAAGGAGGGTAATCAGGCTCTGAGCAGGAATACTAATAATTTAAGAACAGTAAAAGATTAAGATGTATAATTACTGAGAAAGAGAAAAAGGAATATGAAAATGTTTATGAAAATTGTGGTGACGATGGTAGAAATAATTTCAAAAATATCTGAATAAATGTGAACGTGATGGCAAACAAAAGGTGGAAGAGGAAACTGTGGACAAAGATATAACAGTCAAACATCAGACAAAAGGCAGCTCATGTTGTATGAAGTAGATTAAGGCAACAGGACTTACCAGAGATAAGGAAGGTCACAGTGTGACATATTATTTAACAAGATATAACGACTCTTGAAATTACATTAACCAAGCAATACAATCTCTAAAACTATATAACCCAAAATCTGACAGACTTTTGAGGGGGAAAAATGACAAAAACACTTGTCAGGAAAGAACAGAAACATCATGCTTCTAGAACACCTAGGATTTTTGAACTACTGTAGGAAAAATGGCAAAAATGCCTAACCTCCTGCCTTCCTCCTGGAAAATGACAGGTCATTAGACGGGTATGTAGTGTTCTCCACATTCCAAGGTGTGCTGTCCAGCTTCTGGCATCATTTATCAATACTAATCAATACTACTTATCAATACTACTCCCTCCTTATCAATACTACTCCCCTGAGACGCACCCTTCTCTAAAATGAACTGTTCTTCCTCCTTTGCCCCAATAAATAAGGAGAACAGAGGCTTAGCAGGCACATCCCCAGTAAGACCCCCTCCTCTCCCTCTTGACTCAGACCTCTGGGTCTGGAGCAGTGATTCCATGTATGCTTCACGTGGCTCTCTGTTGGACATAGAGTCTTGAACATACAACTAGAGTAGTACAAGGTCTGGGTTTTTAAAAAAAAGGTAACAAAAAAAAAAGGTAAAAAGATCAGCCAGAGACTGGTGAATACATATGCAAAACACAATACAGGAAAAATTTACTGCCCCCAAAATACAAAGGACTTCTAGCAAATGAGTAGGATAAACAAGAATAACACATTAAAAAAAAAAAAGAGGACATAAACAGACAACTTATAGAAGACTACTATATGACCACCCCTCTAAAATGTAAAAAGATGCTTTATAATTATTGAGAAGGCAGGGCCAGCAGGTGGTATGACGGGTAAGGAGCTGGACTCCCACACGGGCGACCATGGTTTGAGTTCAGGACCTGGTAGCTTGCTTTCTCAGTTCCCCTCTCTCTTTCTGTCTCTCTCTGGGAACAGCATGTGTCCTACAGCTAATTAAAATAATAATAATAATAAATAATAATAATAGGTGCTGACAGGTAGTATGGTGGTTAGGGGTGCTGGACTCCCACATGGCCGAATGTGGTTCAAGTCCTGGACCTGATGGCTTGCTTTCTCACTTTCTCACTCTGTCCCTCTCTGGCCAAATATAAACAAACAAACAAATAAAGTTAAAGAAAATAATTCTTTAAATAATAAAAAATAAATAAAACTAAATTCTTTTAAAAAAGGAAAAGGCAAATAAAATTGTAATTAAACATCCATTTCATATCCATCCATTTGACACAATTTACAAGTCTGAAGACATTAAGTTTGGCAAGAGTGTAGAATAACAGGATCTTGATCCACTAAGGAAGGGCGAATAAGCCGTTTAGTCAGCAACTAGCTAATACCTAGCTAAGCTGAGGCAGGGGCTGTGCCATGACAGTACAGCTTCTGCCCTTAGGGAAATCCAGCTTACTGAAACTCAATCATACTCTCAACAAGTTTTGGGTAAGAATTTTTTTTAAGGCTTTTGCCATAGGGTATGCACTTGCCAAGAGACACAGATAGAGGGAATGTGAAAAACCACCCTTTTTCCCAGAGGTTAGCAATTACACACACAATCCCTTTTCCGCATTCTCCTCTCAGGAGTTTGGGCACATATGCACACACACACACCCAGCGTGATTTTCAAGCTGCCAGGTCCCGAACTCAGGCTGTGGGTGGCCAACATGGGAGTCCAGTGACTTAACCACCATACCCCTCCACTTAAGTATTTTAATTGTAGTACTATATGTGAAAGTGCAAAGGAAAAAGGAGGGAAAAAAACGAAACTGTCCCTTAGTGGAAGAGGTACAGTTAAAGTTTATAAATTAAATCTGTACATGCCAACACGGATAAATCTTAAAAACAATTTTAAGGGGCAGAAGGTGGAAAAATAGTATGTATCATTTATCACTCACATGAGGGGACTTAAAAAAAGTTCATGGAAAATACAATTAAAGTGCAAATTTACTTTGAACCATGCAATTTTTTTTCTTTTTTTTTTTTGAGAGGTTTTTGCTACAGAGCGCGTGCGCTTGCCAGAAAGACAGAGATAGACAGAAAGCAAGAAATCACCCCGTAGTGGGGATGGCCACGCCACAATTCCTTTTTCTCCTTTCTCCTCTAGGGATCTTGGGCACGCACGCACATGCACCCAGCATGAGTTTAAGCCACCAGGTCCAGGACTCGAACCGTGGTCAACTACATGAGAGTCCAGTGACACAGCCATTACGCTAACTGCTAGTCCCTCAACTGTTCAATCTTGATGGTGGGTATACAGCTGTGTTGTCTTACTTTCTGTATGTTTGAATGCTGTATACTCTAATATATTTATTAAAAACCAACTAATAAACTATCAAGTTCAGCAAATATTACCGTGTACTTTCTACTCGTTGAATCCCCCAAAGATCTAAACCATCTTCAGTAAGAGTTCCAGTCTACAAAGAGAAACAAAAAACATACAAGCACAAAGTATGAATAATGCTTCAGTTAAAAAAAAACAAACAATATTAAAAAACTATACTATGTATATATGATGGAGTAGTATACAGTGTTTAAAAATAAAAAAATAAAAACCCAGAAAGATCTCAGTATACTGATTGAGACGACTTCTAGGACATGTTTAAAGTGGAAAAAGAGGTGAACAATGGTACTTACAGTATGATTCCTTTATGTAAGAAGGGAGGACACATGTGTGTACTTATATATTTACATGCTTATATAATTTTTAAAATGATCATTTAACTAGGTTCTTGGCAAGAAATCTAGAACACCCATTTGTGAAAATAAACTCCATGAGTAAGGGTAAACACAGATCGCAGGTAGCCCTGGAGCTGAGGAACAGCTCTGGTTTGGTAAGATTTGCGAGTCTACATTTTCTGATCAACTTTGCACTGCTCTCAAGTCTTGTATTTCTCCCTCTGTGTTGAAGATCTACCTTTCCTGGTGGCTGGGTTTCCACAGCTTCTTTTTCTTGAAGTAAGCATCGGTGAGATGTTTTGGGATTTTTACTTTGCTAGTAGCAATTTTCATAGAGATGGCAATGACAACTTTCTGGTGTGTTCTATGCAGTGGAACTCGACTGAGGACTAGAAGTCCAGTCACGAGTAGCAAGCCACTGCACAGTTGCTTCAGGAAAACCACTCTCTTGACTCTGTGGCATCCAGTAAGGATGATCAGAATAGTCCTGGGAGTGATGCTGGCTCTCAGCTTTCTCACATGCTGACCAGACGGTTTTCTGCTGTGGCTCAACAGCTTTCAAGGCATATCTTTGGTAGGCATTTTGTGAAATTTAACTACCCGGGTACCTACATTCTTGTCCTCACCAACTAGTTTTGTGACAGTGGCAAGAACCTTCTCCTCCTTTTTCTTTTCAATCCTGGATTTGGTGCCCAAGTACTTCCTTTTGTATATGGCCTTCCTGGAATACCCGTTAGATCAGGAGTATCTGCCGATGCCCTGGACTAGGACTGGGTTTCAGCTGTGATGGGGCTTCCCTTTCTTGGGTTTTTTAGCCTTGGAGTCACCCTTTTTAACCCTGCCACTGGCATCAGCCTTCTTGGCATCAGGTTTCTTCTACTTAGTATCCTGCTTCACAGTTTTTTCACTTGCCATCTTCTATAGTGGGAAACATGCTTATATAATTCTAAAAACAATGGACAGATGCACCAATCAACCCACGAATTAATAAATGATGCCTATAAAGAGGGAGTGATTAGAGTAGAGGAAGCCAAACAAATGACATCAGGAGGAAGCAATAAATCAACTTTGGGATGAAGAAGTTGGTTTATATCCCTAACCTCTACAAAATGAGTAGGGATGAGGGGCAAGGAAAGTCAACTGTGACGGACTAATGATAAACAATGCAATCCCTACTTGAATTCTGGAAAGAACTGTAGAAACTTGGAACATTTTAGGGCCAGCCCTGTGGTGCAGCAGAAGCCGTATGTGACATGGCTGACTGCAGTTTGAATTCTGGCCTCAACAGCTTGAAAAATATGCTGAATGAGTGCATGCATGGCCTGGATTGACAGGACGGAGAAATGGAGGAGAGAGAGACTGCACGTGTCCATGTCTGGTTGAGTGATGCTTGCTTTTCCTCTCTCTTTCAAGTATCTCTCTCTACCTATCTTGCACACACACTTCCCCTAGCATAAAATAAATAAATAAATAAAATACTTTTAAAGGAAAACTAATTTCAGCGTAGTAAACACAAACCTTTCTAAGAGGCAAAGTATATTTCACACAGGTACACAAATGTCATTTCCACATAAAACTGATGACCTTCACAACTTTAAAACATACTCAATAAACTTACAGCAGTATTTAAAAGCAATAAATTCAAATATACACACACACACACACACACACACACACACACACGTAGGGAGCCTATTCTGTTAAATCAGAATTATCCAAAGACAGATTGTATAAACTTTACTACTTCTACTACTTACTTATAAGAAGATGTAATTCTGGATCTGAATGACTAGTCAACTGCAGATCTAAGCAAATAAGCAATACTCAAAGCTATTTTAAAAATTCAAAAAATAAGAAATATTCGACAATAAGGCATATGCCAAATAAGTTGTAGAGGAGGAAAACTAGAGGAACAATAAAGAATGTGAGCAAATTAACTGACAAAGAAACTGGAAAACACTGATCTAAGTATTTAAAAGCCACAATGTAATCTTTGAGAATGATTATTAAACTGAACCAACCTTGTCAAAACAAACAAGATTCAGCTGTCCACAAATATTTATCCTCTGGGGACTGATACAGAAAATGCCGAGTTTTTTCAGTCTTCTCTGAGCATACACAATACCAGCGGTCATTGCAGCAGGAAGTGCAGGTGGCACAGTAATTGTAATGATATCAAGAGACTTAATAATTATGACCCCAACTTCTACCTATAATTAACACAAATATAAATATCAAACCCATAATATTAAACATTTACTAATTTAATATGGATATTTCTTTAGTAAAAAAGACTAAATTATTTTCAATTTTATATGTGTGTACATACAGAACTCTATTAATCATTTATAGTTCTTTCCTTCAAAAAAAAAAAGCAAGTTCAATGAATTGTACAATGACACCTATTTTTACAGAACATGGTTCTCATTTTAATAACCTACATACTTCACACAACACACATCCAAAGTAGTTCACAAACTTTGTCAGATATTGAAACATCCTAAAAACACAGTATTGTGCCAGTATCTACAAGGTACAGAAAAGAAAAATTGGACAAGAGAGGTGCCCTCAATTAAGCAATCAGAAATCATTTTAATACTGAATATTATCTATCCCAGTGGGGAGGGGGAGAAAATAAATCTTTTGGTGAATATTTACCTTTGACCCCCATTCCTCACTCCCCCGATTTTAGATTTTTACGGTAGAGTACATGTGCTCACTAGGGAGAGAGAGGGAAAGAAAGAAATCACCCCTAGGGGGGATGGCCACATCATTCTCCTCTACATCATTCTCCTCTCAGTACTTCGGCCTCACACCACATGCACACTCGTCCAACATGTTTTTCAAGCCACTGGGCCTGGGACTCAAAACTGTGGTCAGTCACGTAGGAGTCCAGCTCCTTTATCACAATACCTGCCAGACTCCTGCCCCCCACACTTTTTTAAAAGAGATTTTTTTGCTATAGGGCGTCACTCGCCAGAGTGACAGACAGAAAGTGAGAAATAACCCTCCAGAAGGGATGGCCCTGCTAATTCTTTCTCCTCTCAGGACTTTGGGCAGGCACGCATGCACATACACATGCTCAGTATGAGTTTTAAGCCTCCAGGTCCAAGACTCAGGTCAACCATGTGGCAGTCCAGGCCTTAACCAGTGTGCCACCTCCCTGCCCATTTTCAAGTCATAAGAGAATAAGCAAGATTATCTAAACCAAAGCTATCCAAAAGAACTATCTACCGCAATGATGGAAATGCTGTATATCTGAAGTTTCTGATACAATACCTATCAGTCTCATATGGATTTTTAAAGTTAAATTAATTAAATTAGCATTAAAAGTTTAGTTCCTCAGCTTCACTAGCCATATTTCAAATTCTTTTTTTTTTATTTTGAGAGGTTTTCGCTATAGGGCGTGTGCGCTCACCAGAAACAGAGAGAGACAGAGAGACAGAAAGCGAGAAATCACCCCCCAAGGGGGATGGCCACGCTGCAACTCCTTCTCCTCCATTCTCCTCTCGGAATCTTGGGCACGCACGCACACGCACCCGGCATGAGTTCTAAGCCACTGGGTCTGGGATGTGAACCGCAGTCGACTATGTGGGAGTCCAGCGACATAGCCATTACGCTAACTGCTGGTTCCCTTCCATATTTCAAATTCATAATAGCATGATAAATAATTAAGAACTTAAGAACAAACCCTCTCGGGATTGGCAGATGGCTTGGTGGTTAAGGCACTGGACTACCCCACAGCCAACTGTGGTCTGAGTCCTAGGCCTGATGGCTTACTTTCTCCCTCTTCCTCTCCTTCTCTGTCT